AGTCTTATTTTCCAACAACAACATCAGTTGTTTTTATATGTGACCATCTCTCAGTTCTTAATCTGAAAAATCCTTGAGAGGAAAAATAATGACTTATTGAAATAGATGTGCTATCCAGTTTCTGCTTACTTCCAAAACAATCCATCAACCTTTAATTTATTTACTGTGGTACATGTCCTATAATCCTCCTTATTCCACAATGAGAAACAGAAAGAGTGACCAATAGTGTTTTCCATGCAAATGAGTAAAAATTGTGACTACAGGAAATTGAAACAATGACATTGAGCCTCATAATAATGCTCAATTGCCTTATAAAATGAAGATCAATGGAGAGTTCCGCATTGGCTAAATCTCCAGAATGTTATGCTCTCTATAATTCAAGAAGAAAACAATTCCCTGTTCAACAATTATATTAGTTAACTCTTGTGACAAGATCTCCTTCATATAAATCATTTCTATAAAACAGGTGTAATCATTATCACCATTTACAGATGAGGACCCTGAGGCTGGCACTGTGATGGCTTCTCTAAGGGTACAGTCAATAAGGGCAGAGCTGAGACTAGAACCAGGTACAATTAGATCTTAGGCTCTTTCTGCTACCCCTTGTGTCCTCTTGGTAACACTCACATGGATGAATGCAGCTTACTGAGTTTCCACAATGGCAGCTCCTTCCTAAATAACAGCATCAAGGAATAATTCAGAAGAAAGTCAGTGAGGAATGTGAAAGAGTACTTGGTGCACCAATGATGACCATTACTGTGGCCCTCAATCCTGCAAATGAAAGTCCATGACCAGTCCTGAAAGAGGACCAAATAGAAGAGCCAAGATTAATGCTGATAAAGTATTTAGAGCAATGAGCAAAAGACGTAACTGATATACAAGGAGTGTTTGTTAAATATATGTATATACACTTGTTTGCCCAGGGCTGTCAGGTTTTTTTCGTTTAAAGATTTCATTTCTACTAGCAAGGGTTCACAATAAAATTCATAGTAGTAACACTGACAGTGATCTATCATATTGGCTGATCTCAGCTTTAATCCTCATAAAACTACACAAAGCACAAATGTGATTAAAAAACATGGTAAATATGTAAATTAAAAAGAAAAATAATGTATTACAGTAAAAGACACATCCTCGTGAATTACCCTCAACACCCCCCCCACAATACAATTATCCATTATTTTTGCCACCACTTTTGGAAGCAGTTCTGGAAGTCTTTCAAGAGTGTCTTTTCATGCCCGCCTCAATGTCCTGAATTTATTCAAAATATTTACAGCAATTTCTGTCAAATAAAACATTACAATGTGCCTTCATGTACCTTATTTACTGTATCTTTTTCCTGATGTCAAAATCACACTGAAAAGTAAATGTTTTGGATAATTCAGCACATGGAAGAAGCCACAACAGCACAACCAGACAATCCTCAAAGAGGACTTCCAGACCTGCTTCCAAATGTGGCAAAACAATGGAATAAGTATATTGAAAGCAAGAGAGAATGTTGTGAAGGGAGTTAATAGCAATATGTCTTTTACTGTAATAATTATTTTCAATTCAAATATTTACTGTATTGTTCGATCATAACTCGTGTGTATTAGTCTCATTTTGGGAATGGGAAAACTAACAAGAGATCTAACTGCTATTAAGTAATATTTAAAGTTGGGTAATCTTGTTTTTCTTTCCACTCTGTCATGCTTCTTTCAGACCTAACTTATTCAGTCAGTTGGAATAATAATTTAATCATTAAATATTTTAGCCTTCAAATCTTTCATTTTTCCTTAAATAATCTCAATCTGTGTTGTGCAATATGATATAGCTACATATGGCTTTTGAGCAATAAAATGCTGTGAGTCCTAAATGAGATGGACTGAAAGTATAAAATAAAGACCTATCACAAAAAAGTAAAATAATTAATAAATTGTAATATTGATTACATGTTGAGATAAAACTGAATATATTGTTAAATTTAATATATTATTAAAATTAATTTCATATTTTTGTTTTGGAATGTGGCTACGAGAATGTAGATTTTTGAATGTAGTTACTAGAAAACTTAAATTACATATACGGTTAATACTATATCTCCAGTGGCTGGGGATTTGCCTCAGTGGTTCCACCACCTGGATCACAAGTGCAGGGTCCTGAGTTCAATCCCTAGTACCAAAAAAATATATATCCCTCTATTGGACCATATTGCTACAGATTATTGTACAAATCTCTCACATGTTGACATCAGAGAGAATCAAATAGAAAAAAATGTTTTTGCTTTTGAATTATTCTCATGGCATCAGCCTATAATCCAAGATGTTCAAACACTGAGTTCCATAGTATTTGTTGGACTGCTTTTATTTCTTTCTATGATTCATAGAAAAAAAATCACATTGCAACCCAGAATAATCTGGTTTTTATTTATTATACATATACTATATTAGTTTTATAAATTTCTATGATATATAACTAAAACAACAGTTTAATGAATAGAGAAATTAACTTCCCCTTACTTATACTTTCAGTTCAATCAACTCCTATGCTATTGTGTTAATGCTGGTTGCAATCCACTAACCTAATTTTACAACCCACTAATGAGTTTCAACCTCATTTGTAAAATTCAGCGTAGTGCCTGCAAATGAGATACTGATTCCTTCTGCGCAGAGGTGAAGGGATTTTTTGGTAAATAAGAAACTGGATCTGGTAGAAATGAATGAGCTAGCAGAGGCCTGTGACAGCTATAGCAAGCACTGTGGCCTGTTCAGTTGGCCACCCTGAGGGGAGCTCTGCGACCTAAGTGCTTCCTCCTTTCCATGGAAACAGCATTATGAATGTGTATGACGTTTCTTCTGCTCAGCATCATTCCTTCTTACAAGAAAAAGCAAATGCTTCCTTTGGTATCTGCTCTTTCTACCCAACTCCCACTCCCCTCCTCCACTCTATCCATAAGATTCAAATGAAAGTTGCGCTGCATTATAGGCCATGTCTGATAACTCAACAGTAGGAACCCAACCTAACTGAGACCAATCAGAGCCTGTTCTTGGGATTTGGGCACATCTAACTAGAACAAGGCAAAGTCAGTCTCTTTCGATGATTTATTTGTATTCAGACATCTTTGACAGATTATTAACTTCCCATTATAGCAACGGGAAAGTATATTTCTCGTTGCTGAGTATCGTTCAAATTCTTCCAACAAACCATTTTTCCTAAGCTCCTTAGAGGTATGTTCTCTTGCCTGAAGCCAAGAATCTGGACTACACTCTGATTAAATACGAAATTTGGCCAGTGACATAATTTCAGTGACTCTAAGCCACTGGCATGCCCATATGCAAGCAGGAATAAAATTCTCTCCTATCCCTGACACTTCTGACTTCTAAGAACTGTCCCTTCCAGTGCCTGCATATCTACCCCCAGAGTCTTTGTGCTCTAAAAAGGACATAGATCAGAACAGTTGGTAGTATTCATACACCACTGATTTCGGGAACCCTGTAAAGCAAATTAAAGTGATCCCTTTAACACTGAAAATGCAGTAGATTTGTACCCTGATTATAAAGCAAGCAATTAAGTAAGACAAAGCATGATCCTTGTATAATACTGTAGTTTAACTGGGGGAAAGATGTTTTATTTAATATTCATCGCCAGCTTTTTGTAAAAGATCAACAAATCATTGCTTATAAATAAAAAATCATTTTCTTACAGAATATTAAAATTGCTTTTCCTAATGGTAATGTATCTGGTGACTTACTTAGTTGTGGCATTTTTAGTGGTTACTTTAAGAATGATCTCTACCTAAAGAACCAGAATGTTCCAGTATCTTTTAAAGTGAGGGAGCACTAGCCCCAGCAGTTTGATTTAGTGGCCTGAGATTGCCCTCAAGTCCCTTTGAACTACATTGCTCTTGGACCATATTTATTTCTTATGCATTTAGAGTAACTAATGTGCTGTTCCTAAAGGAAGAAGGAATGTGAGAAAGCCTGTAAGATTAATCTTCAACAGAAAGAACAGATCTAGTTGAATCAAAGGGGGAAGTGGAAGCCACTGTCATTCTCAACACACACAAAAGGCTTCTCTGGCACGCGACAGCTGCTGCTGTTCTGCAGTTCAGCCATCGGGCACCAGGCAAGAAGAATACGGATTGCAGTGACACAAAAACACACACTATGTCCTTGGGACTTCTGTCTTCTTAAAAAATTTGCCTGGAATATATGGCTTTGTTTGAATTTCTCAGGAACATTAGTGCCTGTAAGGGATCCATATAGGAAATCCTGTGTGATACCTGGGAGATCTCTTAGAAGACTCCAAATCCACAGCCTGAAAAAGGTCCAGAGTATGTCAAGCTGTATTTCTATTTTTTTTTTTCCTCATTGAATTTATTGGTACATTTTAGGCATACAGTACAGTTACATTCATTATTGGGATCTTGTACCTTTACCTGACAGGTCTTGGCTCTCATTTTTTCCCCTTGTCCCTGCCCTCAATTCACCCCCTCCTCCCCTCCCCGTTTATAAACACTTTATTTCCATTTTTTCATTTTCTCTTATTTTTTCCTTTCCCTTATTCCCTTTCCCCTACCCTTCCCACTCTCCCTACACCTTTAGCCCTTTTCTTCCTATTTCACATTGTCAATTATCTCATTCTGTCATTCTATTCAGATAAAATGTCATTCTATTTACTGCATATCTGAGACCTATGAAGGCAGCATAAGGAGCTCTGGGTTTCACCCTTTATTAAGCACACACTGTAAGTCAAATTACTGCAGTGAATAACATAGCTGTGGCCCTTGCTGTTTCAGGTTGACCTTTTTGAGGTGAGAAAGGGGGCAAGGAAATGAGAAATAAATTCCAAGAAGAACTAGGGTGATAATGAAACCTACAAACGGTGTGAGAGAAGGAAGGTGGGGTAGCTATCTGCCTCCCGCTTCCTTTACCCCATCTCCACCCACCCGCCCCCGCTACTCCTCACCCACCCCACCTGGCCCGACCCTTGCTAAGCCGATGCCCAGGGCTCTCTGGACAGGATACGATGGTCGCGAGACCCCACCCCGCAGAGGTGGCTCAACCGCTGCTCAGGTTCCCTCCTCCGATCCTGTGAGCTGTTGGCCAGGATGGGAAACGAAACCAGTTACCCGGAGGCGATGTGCTCTCCCTTCAACCAAGATGAAATTAAAAGGCTGAGCAAGAGTTTCAAGAAGCTGGACTTGGACAAATCGGGCTCTCTGAGCGTGGAGGAGTTCATGGCCCTGCCTGAGATACAGAAGAATCCGTTGGCAAAGCGAGTGATCGACATCTTCGACACGGACGGCAATGGAGAAGTGGACTTCAAGGAGTTCATCATCGGTATCTCCCACTTCAGCGTCAAGGGCAACGTGGAGCAGAAGCTGAGGTTTGCCTTCCGCATTTACGACATCGATGAAGATGGCTACATTTCCAACGGGGAGCTCTTTCAAGTGCTGAAGATGATGGTGGGAGAGAACCTCAGTAACTGGGAGCTGCAGCAGCTGGTGGACAAAACCATCATCGTTATGGATAAGGATGGCGACGGGAGACTATCCTTTGAGGAGTTCAGTGCTTTAGTCAGACACCTGGAGATCCACAAGACGTTGATACTGACTGTGTGAGCCCTTTTTGCATCACCATCACCCAACAACTTTTGCCTTCTCTCCTCTTTCTTTCATCTCTACTCAAGGCATCCAGCAACTGCTTCTCCACTACCTAGAACTGCTTCTCTTTTCCAAACTTTGTCACCAAAGCAATGTTAGTAATTGTTCTCGCAGTGACTCAGGGAATCCCTGAGTAGGAGAGGAGCAAGATGAAGGAGCTTGGTGGGGAATGCAAAGAAATTGCTTAATAAATATTTCTGTTTGTTAAATCAATTATAAAAAGTCAAAAACTTGAAAGGCTCAAAAATAAGAAAATCTACATCTTTGCTTTTCTTTCTCATGGTGTTGTAGGGGGGAGGAAATTATACAACTTGTATGAGGTGTCAGGTGAACTGTTTTCATTTACTTGCAGTCAGACATCTTTGACAGATAACTTCCTGTTGTAGCAACAGGAACCAATATATACACTTGGCAGAGTGTCTTTTAATTACTAGCTGCACAACAAAAGCCCATTTTCCCTGTAACAGACCACAGCTCCACATCCCACGATGCACCCAGAATTCCACAATGGAGGGAAGTCCAGTCTAGCTCCTCGGTCTCATTCCTTCAGCCTCTGTCAGAAACTAGCCTCAGGGCTTATGTTAAAAAAGAAAAAGAAAAAAAAAACTGCTAAACTAGGACTAAGTGCCCAACCAAGCTATTAGCTTCAGTGGCAGGGGATTTTCAGAGTTGGCTGCCCATTCCAGCGTTAAATTCAGAAAAAGCATCTTCCAAATAGGGCAGGTTCCTTTCCACAAAAGTACCCTCATCCCCAACACTCAAGCCCACTTTATTTGGAGTAAATGGGACACAGATAGAATGGCCTTACCATCGGTTACAGGCAGAAAAGATGAGGGCTCTCCAAGGATGCTTACGGTGGATTAATTCATGGTCAACTTGGAACGCTCAGCTGAACTGAGTCAGTGTGGTTCTGGGCATAGAAGACCCACCTGAGGATTGTTGCTGGAATGGCATTAAAGAATGAGAGGGGAGGGTGGCATGCAGCTGATTTTCTCGGAGGATCTTGTGGCTGGTTTTCTTGATATGAACTCGCCTGTTCTCATCAGAGGATCTCAGGTCCTCCCTGTCACTGAGGATGGTTGCCCTTCTCTTTGAGGGAACTCTGGTCTTTGCCTTAAGCACCATTTCTGGCTCTAGTGCAGATCCCTCGGCCTGTGGCACAGACCCTCCAACTCTGCATTGCAGAGCTTCTGGCTTCCACCACTGGCCTTGGGGGTTTTCTGGTGCAGATCCTTGATGCGGACGTGCACGGGTCATTGTCATGAGCTCCAAGTCTTGGGCTGGACTTGTGCAAAACATGGCCATGGGATCCAGGCCCTTGGCTGCGTGTTGGGGGTGTCTAGTGTGAGGACAGAGCTTTTGCACTCTTCGGCATTTGAATTTTTGGGTGAATATGAAATAATCCCATAAATTGTGTGTCCTGTGTTAAATCTATTTCCTTAAGCCACTGACTGCAGCAATGCTGAGTGGAATTGCGTTGTTCTGGGGGCTCAGGGATGTAGAGATCACCAACCACGTCTCCACAGCAAAGGCAAATAGTAGCTGCACTAGCTAAGTGTGGTTTTAAAAATCAGACATGGGACATAACAGAGAAACTGAGAGCGTTCATATCCTCAGGAATGTTTTTCCCTAATGGAACATTTAGCCTAGAGTTCCTCACACCCCAAGAGACCTACATCTAAGTGTGTACTGAAGCCTATTTGCTCTAGATAGCATCAAATGTGTAGACAGATTTCCCTAGCTCCCTAGATATATCATGTTGGTAGCTTGAGATTGGCCATAGTGGGAATAGTGTATCAGGGAAAAGAACAAAAACGTTTAGTGGTTTTCTTTGAAGAGTCAGTTTACCAGTTAGCCCACCACCTGCTTCCATCCTCAGTGTTACCAGCTCTCTGACTTCACTCCCACTGCTGTCAGATCTCAGAACACAAGCTCTCCTCACAGGAGCAGGCCCAGGACTGATCCCGGCATCTGCCATTTCATACCACTTCTCTTTCTCACAAAGAACCACTCCTCAACAAGCCACCTAAAGCTGTCAGAATACTAAATGACACATACTCTTTCACACTCAGAAAAAGACAGAATTCTTGTAGTTCTTCTCAGGAAAACTAAGATCAATTTTCTATGAGATTTATTATTAGATTCTGAAGAAATTAGCAACGAGTCTTGACCAGAAAAAGAAAATCAAGTCCACAAATTTAATCACTGGCAGGACACCCATCTACACACTATACTTTTAATAGCATAGCTTACTGAGGAACTACTAAAAATAGGAATTCTTGTTCCTTTAATTCCTCTGAGGTTCCAAAGAAATACATTAATAATCAGTAAAATGTGTGTTCATTTCAGATGCCCATTTCTGAATCCAGTCTTTATATTTGGGGGCCTGATTTTTTTGTTGCTGTTGTTGTTGAGTTCTTTATATATTCTAGATAGTAGACCTTTGTCTGAGGAACAGCTGGTAAAATTTTTCCCACATTGTAGGTCATCCCTTAGCTCTGTTGGTGGTTTCTCTTGCAGTGCAGCTTTTTAATAAGATCCCAGTTATTGATTCTTTGTGCTAGATCCCATGTCACTGAGGATTTGTTTTTTCCTATGCCAATGTCTTTGAGTTTACCTAATTTATCTTCCAGCGAGTTTAGTGTTTCTGTTTTAATATTTAGATCTTTAACCACTTTGATTTTAGTTTAGTGCCTGGTGAAATATAGGGATCTAGTTTTAATAATTGGCAGGTTGAAATAAAGTTTTTCCAGCACCATTTATTGAAGAGGCTGTCTTTCCTCCAGTGAGGATGGTTGGCTCCTTTGTCAAAGACAAGGTAGTTGAGTATGTCTGGGGTTGTTTCTCCATCTTCTAATTAATCCACTGATCCTTATATCTGCTTCTTTGCCAGTACCATGCTATTTTTTATCACAGTGGCTTTGTAGTATAGTTTCAAATTGGGGATTGTGATACCCTCTGTTATGTCTCTGCTGCCTGGAATTTCTTTTGCTATTCTAGGTCTCTTCTGGTTCCAAATGAATTTTTTTATTGTTTTCTCTAGTTCTGTGAAATATACTGTTGGAATTTCAATTGGGATTGCGTTGAATCTGTATAGCAATTTTGGAATTATGGCCATTTTCACTCTGTTAATTCTTCCCACCCAGGAGCAGGGGACATCTTTCCATTTTCTCATATCCTCTTCTCTTTTTTCAGAGTGCTCTAGTTTTCAGTGTATTGGTCTTTTGCTTCCTTTGTTAGATTGGTTCCTACATATTTCATTTTTTTGGATGCTATTGTAAAAGGAATTATTTCCCTAATTTCTCTCTCAGTGAGTCTGTTATTTGCGTACAAGAAGGCTATTGATTTTGAATGTTGACCTTGTATTCATCTACTCTGCTGAATCTGTCAATTAAGTCTAGAAGTCTTTTGGCAGAGTTTTTTGAGTCTTCTATGTAGAGTATCATTATCATCAACAAATAATGAGTTTAACTTCTTCCTTTCCTATCTTTATTCCTTTTATTTCTTTCTCTTGTCTAACTGCTGTAGCTAATGTTTCCAGAACTATATTGAACAGGAGAGATGATAGTGGATATCCTTGTCTTGTTCCTGATTTTAGCATGAAGGTTTTCAGTTTTTTACTATTTAGTATGATGTTGACTGTTGGTTTTTCATAGTCTTTAAGCCACAAGTAAATATATGAAAAAATGTTCAACATCACTGGTCATTTGAGAGATGCAAATGAAAATAACACTGAGATTCCACCTTACCCCAGAAAGAATGGCTGCTATCAAGAAATCAACCAATAGCTGGGCATGGTGGCACCCAGCACTCAAGAGCCTGAGGCAGGAGGATCGCTGTGAGTTTGAGACGAGCCTGGGCTACAGAGTGAGTTCCCGGTCAGACAACTACATAGTGAGACCCTGTCTAAAAAAAAAAAAAAAAAAAAAAAAAAAAAAACAATCAACCAATAGAGGGCCGGGGATTTAGCTCAGTGGTTCTGCCACCTGCCTTGCAAATGCAAGGTTCTGAATTCAATCCCTAGCACTAAAAGAGAGAGAGAGAGAGAGAGAGAGAGAGAGAGAGAGAGAAAGAAAGGAAGGAAGGAAGAAAGAAAGAAAGAGAGGAAGGAAGAAATCAACCAATAACAAATGCTGGTAGGGTTGTGGAGAGAAAGGAACACTTTTCCATTTTTGGTGGGAATGCAGACTGGTGCAACCACTGTGTAAATCATTATGGAGATACCTCAAAAAACTATGATTATAAGTTCCATTTGACCCAACTATCCCTCTGCTGGGTATCTTTCCAAAAGAATTATTCCACAGCACTATATGTGCACCCAGGTTTATAACAGCACAGTTTTTAAGAGCCGAAGCATGGAAACATCCCAATTGCCCATCAACTGGAGCCTGGATAAAGAAGATGTAGCTTTTCTATAAAATAGAGTATTTCTCGGGCATAAGAATGAGAAACTAGAGACATTTATAGCTAAATGGATATACACTGAGGCCATATTCTTAAGTGAAATAAATAAGACACACGTGTAAATATCAAATAGTTTCTCTGGTGTGAAAAACTAAAAGTGTAAATAAGGTTCAAACTGTATAACTGATAATGTAAAATAGGAAGAAAAGGTCTAAAGGAGTAGGGGAAGTGGGAGGGGTAGGGGAAAGGAAAGAAAGGAAAAGAAAAAATATGAGAAACAAAAAATGGAAACAAAGTCTTTGTAAATAGGGAAAGATGGAGGAGTTGAAGGGAGGGCAGGGGAATGGGGCAAAAATAAGAACCAAGATACATCATGTAAAGGTACAAGATCCCAATTATGAATGTAACAGTACTGTTTACCTAAAATGCACCAATAAACTTAATGGAAAAAAGAATAAATCAATTGAAAACATAAAAAAAATAGTAAAAACTCTTTTCTTATATTGATGTGAGTCAGAACCCTCCTGCCAGGTAATATGGTTGAAAGACACAAAAACAATTGATTTTGATTAGTTACAACTGGGTAATCATCGATTAGTTGTATGAACATAAGCAACTTCTATATCTTTCCTCTTTAATTAAAACAATGACCCACCCTGGATCATTTTGAGGATTGGAAAAGATAAAATATGTAAAGAACCTA